AAAGCTTGCATATTACGAGGGCCGCCTACGAAACTCGAAGGTAAGATAACCCGGCGACCAACCACTTCTTCCTGAACTTCATTTCCCAGTGCCTCCACTATACCACTGTACAGCTCAGCCCGGAGTTCTTTCTGATGGAAGCGGATGAAATTTAGTCGCGCATGTTCTACACATACGTACATGTCGACTACGAACTCTTGAAAGAGGCAACCTGATGCAAGGATGACTGAGTAGACCGGGCGCTTGAAGAGAAGAAAAGCGAACCATTTGAGACATGTGACTGTGCCATCGGGATCTAGCATGGAATAAAAACAAGTTTGCATTACTCAAAAACAAAACAAAAAGAGTCTTCTCGTACCGTCTTCTGTTGGATTTGTATAGGCGTCATGCCACATTTGAGACCCGTAAGGGAATAGAAGAGGATACCGTAGAGCAAAATACGCGGTGTGGAGTTCGGAAATCGGTTCTATGAGTCCTGATTGTCGCCTTAAGATGATGTCCCTTCCGTGTCTTCCGATTTCTCCATTGCCCTCAATGATAGCGGCAACTTCATTCGAGGTTGGACGATTGTATCTCCGGTGATCAGTCCCGGGCACCGTGATGGTATTGATCCGGAGCGTGCGAATTGGACCATTTGCATTGCAGATTTCGGCTGCTGATCTGAAACGTTCCGCGTATGGATTCACATCATACATGAAATTTTGAAGCTGAAGCATGATTTTGGCGTCTAAGTGTTGAACTCCTGTACGCTCAATCCTTAAACGGGCTTCGCGTTCACCACCCCCTCCGTAGATGTAAATTTGAGCAAACCCGGGATGATTCGCGGGCATTGGCATCAAAGATCCTATTCTGTGATACATTTGCCCCTGAATTCTGGATATTGAATGTCCGCGTTGTCCGAGAACACTGGCGTCAATGTTCGCGCCCAGGGAAGTAAATGATAGACCGTTGTTGTATTTCTGGATGTCTTCTCGAAAATTTCTAGATCCTGAAAAGAATGTAATGTTAAATCATGATAGTACTTTTGCCAAACGTGCTAACTTACTCTGGTCATTGTTCCTTAACAGAGCTTTATAGAATTCTGGAACCTGTTCTCCAACGTCTTGCGGGAAGTATCTCAAAGGAAGATCAACTTGACCGTGATTGCAACAGTTTCGGAAGGTGGTATTGAGAAGTTTAGCGTCTTTAAGTCTTCGTTCCGCTCTCCATCGGTATGCATCACAACCTGTACACTGATCGTCTTGAGGTCCTAAATTGAATGGAATTTCGCCACGGAACCAGGATAGGAGGTTGGCTTCGGATCCTAGTGCTTCGGTACGCACTGCGAGCCCATGATTTTGTCGCCAAATTGCTGCTCTTCGAGGCATGATAATTGTGATTTTTTAGAAAATGAAGAGGTAAGCAATGCAAAATAGAGAATGAATCGTCAACAATAAGGTATAATGGACGACTTATTGATTTCACCAACGTATTGGGTACTTACGTAGTCTTGCAGATTAATCTTAATGCATCAAGCAATCGCCATTATCACAGTTAATCCACATTCATGTTATTAGATACAAACATATTTCAATAATCACATGCCTCACGCAAAAGCTCACGTTGCTCGTCAGCGTTGCGAGAACCGTTACATGATAGGTGAATTGTCGATATACAGGCTGATTTGTTGAAAAAAGTTCTGGGTACCGCGAAGCTCGAAGCACTCAAGTTTGGCATAGGTTGTGTGTATTCTTCGCCGACCCAATTGGGGACTCCACACCTTGATTTCACTGAGGTTTCAGAAACAGTTATCGTATTTGAATTCGCAAAGTTATCTCAGTCAGTTGTATCATTTTATCAAGTATCAATGTGTTTCAATAATCATATGTCTGATGCGGAAGCTTACGTTGTCCATGGGCGTTGCGAGAACCGTTAGTTGGTTAGTGAATTGACGATACACAGGGTGAATTGTTGAAAAGATTCTCGGTCTCGCTAAAGTTGACTTGCTTAATGTTGACATAGGACATCCGCATCCATATCTGGGTTGATTGCGAACCCGACATCCTGAATTTCACCGAGGTTTTTTAGACAATTATAGTATCTGAGTTTACAAACCAAATCGAAGGATCATTTCCCCCTGATTGATTACAAGCATACAATTTCGATGTTATATGTCAGTCTTGTGGTACCTTTCTCGTTGCTGGTAGTGTAACTCACGGTTATACCCTGGTTTTCGAGCCATCCATACTCGCATCCAAACAAAGGATTCAAATTATTCGTGTTAAGTGTTTGCAAGTGAATTTCGAAAGCGAATTAGCCAGTGCTAATCTTGGTTCCGATTGATTCGTGCCCAATCCAAACTTTCCACCTCATGAATTCATGAGTTCGCAAAAGATTTTCCTCCCTTGATTTTGAGCGAATTCGAATTTGGTTTCATGATGATTATATGAGTCAAAGTGAGTCTAAATTCAGGTGATAGTAATCCGTTTATTCGTGTTTCGCGTGTGATTGATGATACTATTCCGTTTCACACAGCAAATGTACGTCGCATTGCATGAGTTAACTATTCGGTTCACGGGTATCCGGAAAAATATATGGATATGAATGTAGACCTGTTTGAACATACACATAGTTATTATCGATGTCAAACCAAAATTTGGTCGTGTTTCCGGGGGATTACTCAGTTTCCGGGTATCTTGGAGTATAAACGCAGAGATGGATGATTGTACATTGCCATTGCCCTTGCTGAATCTAATTCCGTGTGTACAATGTTTTGTTGATTAATGCTCAATGTCGCGACAATCTTCCGGAGAACAAATTTATGTTGAAAGTCGATTGAGTTATTCGTGAACGGTCATGATTTACCATGAACTATGTTTCACCGCTCCCTAAAGTGAAATCAGTCTCCGGGACCGTACCCAAACGTAGTGTCTAATAAGCCAAGTATATAATTAGTTATCACACGTTCATTCGCTCGTAGAACTCTTGATTCCCAATAATAAATTAAAAAAAATTCTGATTCCAACATTCTTCATCATCATGCCGATTCATTCAAGAATGTGTAAAAATGTGAACAACATCGTAAACCCAGCCCAGCCATTTCATATTTCTGAAACCATTGCTCGTTTGTCTTATACTATTCAACGTGAGATTGTTAGCATTATCGATACGTATTGTAAAGTTCGTGGAGAGGATCGAGTTCATTATATCATCAACTTCACCAATTCACCGTCATTCCCGGGGCTTGTGATAAAACATATGGACCACCAAATGTTTCAACATTTGAAACATCAATTGGCCCTTTCGGTCCCTCAGATCGTCGTGCATTCACTTGAACCGATTCACACCACGTAAGCTATCAAAGTCCCGTTATTTTGAATATTGGAATCTAAAGGACTTATTCTTGTCATTAGTTATGTTTCCTCGAGAAATGGACCCCAATCTTTGTGTAAGTCGTTCTCAAGAGTTAATGTTAATTTCAAAATTAATAGGGACAATTCTCTTCTTGTAGCTGTTACCACTGCAAATCAACACAAACCATCATCAAGTTCCCAGGCGCGGTTTGAAGATAATAAAGAGTTTTTCATTTGTCATGTGTCAATTGAATACCAAAAACGGGGCTCACCTCATGTTTACTTACATATCGTTGCGAGGTCCACCGATAGTGTCTATCCGAATTCGGGTTGATTGTTATGTAGGCATTAAATCAAACTCCGTTAGTGTCAAGGGGATCCTAAAAAACGTTTTTTTATATTATGATTAACTTGTGTGCTCCGATCTTGTGCTCAGGTTGCGAAATTTTGTAAATGAACTTATTACCGACATTGTATGTGTGTTCCCAGAAATCTTGCCGTTGTACAGAGTATCTCATCAAATTGGGTTAGTAGCATGACTCAAATACATAACAAGATTCTGCAAACTTACGCAAGGAATGACTTTGTTTGTTCTTATCAAATCGTGGTGAAGTGCCAGAGACCCGGGTAACAGTGTACATCATTGTGTACATCGCGGTAGAGTTCAACAAATGAAGTCTTTGATCCGATGTTGTATACGTGGGCGTTTGAGATGAGCACTCGGGTTTGGATCTCGGCGTGAAGTATATCTTATTCCCATAATCACCAATGCTTATGGTAGATTTTCGACACAGGCATTGTCATGATTAAGGCAGTTGTATTTGATTCGGGCCATTGTCGCTACTTCACAAATGATTGTGCGCATATGTTACTCCTTGATTACTGATATCCTGAAGTTTCAACTGTGTTGGTGGAGATAGGTCATATTTGGATTTCTTAAATGTTACTCCATTTTTTGACCTTTGGTAACAGAAAGGTTGTGTGTTACCAAAAATCAAGAGATATTACATTTTGTATGGACTTCTAGATTTTTGTTGAATGTTGGATCAATAGTTTTTTGGTTTACGAACAGCTTCAGATTTCCAAGATTGGTGCTATACTACTGACATTAAATTCAGAATTGTATATTGTGATTGCAATAAATAATTGTGCCTCATGAACTTGTATGTAAGTCTTCAGTTTGACTGAGACTTCAAGCTTATCTGATGGCACACGAAGTAGGAGTAATGGAATCAATTACGAGGATTAGATAGCACAGTTTGTATCGAAATATTTGCGTAGGGGTCTGTGGTTAACAGCTGATTGGCAAATTCATTGACCGTGCGGATTGAGAGTTCACTTGCATTTACGAGTTCAAACAATGTTGGAGGGCAAGGGATCATGTTATTTAAATATAAGTATTACCAAGAGAGCAACTCAATGAACAGGCTACCGAAGTAGATTAAATGCAGCGGGATCTAAATAAGGAAACATTGTCCGAACTCGAACCACTCAACAAAATTAAATTTGGCATGTTTTTAAGGTGGATTATATTCAAGAAAAAAATAACAATCTTATTACAATGATTGGTTTAGATGAAACTTCAACAGAATGGTGAATGTTAACTTGTGATGGGTTTGCAAAAGCCTATAAGAAATTCAATTACGAATTTCGTTTGAAAACCTGATTTCAAGTAGTCAAGTCAAGAGTTGTGCTGCTCGAAGTTCGACGCGCAGGACGGGCTCGAGGTCTCTTCTTAGGTGTTGTAGTAGCAGGTCTCTTTTTGGTCACCGGCTCCTCGGCCAAGGGATTACTTGATTCGCTACCGGGAGAATCTGGGGCCACAGGATGATCGGCGGGACCAGATCGAGTGCTCACTATGGAGGTTTGTTCAACAATTGGTGATTTGAAGGGTGCGTTGACTGATTTCGGGGTGAACCTGAAAGTAGAAACAAACAGGAAATTTGGCTTAAGTTTGTCATCAACAGGCAAAAGAAATTGCTTACTTTTTCGGTTTTGAGCGCCCAGATCCGTCGTTAACTTCTTCGGTTTTGATCACTTTGTCTGCGAATTCCCGTTCATCACGATGCCCACAAGTAGTTGAGACGCGATTGGCCTGTGTTGAAGCATTATAAGCGACTTGGAGCGTGCCATAATGATTATAAGCTTACAATTACTATGTAACAGCGAGTCTCCTCGTTAAAGTCCTTGAGGTAACCATGAAAGATGGCCTCACGACCCAATTTGAGAATTCGCGGGATGCCGGAAAGGTATTTGAGAGGGCAAATACGGTATTCCACGTAAAAGGTTGGAGCAGGTTTGATCTGCCAGTTATAATACGATGTCAATATAAAATGTAACATAAAATGGATTTTATGAAGAAATATACTTACGTTTGGGTGGTAATCGGTGTGTTTCACAGTTGCCACAATTGTTTTAGGATCATCTAAGTCGTCTTTATCTTTGAGGTTTCGGCAACAGTCCTCAACAATATTTTGGAGTTTTGTAACAATTCCAAGGCCAGTTACACCAACAGTGTTAATGACCTCACCTTTGAATTCTTCGGCCGGGCCAATCATTGCCTGGTCAGAACCTTCAAAGTAAAGATGATCCATGTGAGTGTTCAATGTGTTTGTCGGAAAAAATAAGCCTCGTAAAAAGTAAAATTTATTTTCGTCAAGTGCCATTGAGGGTGAGCTATAGCCTATAGCTCGAATCTCGTATTGAGTCTCTTCGTCGCGGTCAGCGCCACCGCAATTGATGGATACCACATAACTGTGATAGCCAGATTTTTTACCTAGATCGGATGGAAGCTGTTGGAAGAGATCAAGGTTCAATACTTGGGACAGGTAACAAATGCGGAAGTAGGGTTGCGTACTTTCTTCTTAATCTCAAAGTTCCCCGAGAAATAAACACCATGGCCCGTTGGTTTGTTAAAGTCGGGGTTGGGCATTGTGTGAATCTAAGGTCCAAAATTTAAATGGTATAACAAAGAAGGCAAATCTTGGTCAGTCAAGATATTAATCAAGCAAACAGGAAGCGGGTTGTCGTTTTGGATTGGGATGAGTCCGGAGTGTCTATATATACAATACAATATTGATTTACCAATACGTGATTCGAGACGGTATTAGTCAATGGGGATTGGTAATTAGTTAACTCACAAAACTGAGCGAATATAAAGCAAGAGTCTGTGTCTTTATATACGAATCAAACCACAAATAAATAGATACAAAGATAAATAACGATGAATAAAGACAGAGGACAACAATTGTGTGAAAAAAAACTACTTCATGACGTACTGCTTGTATGAATTACACAAGATTATGATTGTCACCGCTGACATTTCGTTTATCGAGACGTGTTTTGTCTGATCGCCGAAAGGAACGTCTTCTCGTTGTCCAAGCGAGTTCGAAAATGTCAGAGGAAATGGTCAATGAATCGACATGGGGATTTCGTGCGGGTCGATTCACTGCTAAACAAATGATCAGGTATGATAATGTTATTGTATTAGGGGACAACATGTCATCTTGAGTGAAAACAAGGTAAATTGGGGACCTGTGAGTATAGATTCTGAGGCCTTACCAGTTGCGGGGCATTAATTAATTGTGATTGTTGATTCAAGAAGATAACAAATGCAGTCAGTGAAAGCATCAAGCAAGGAGTTGCAAGTAGAAAATCGGACAATGACATGCGATCCACCGATTAATGATAATATGGTGATTATTCGCATTGTCATACATTCGGAGGGTGAGTGCTGGGTAATTCCGTTTGTCAAACTTTTGATAGAAGTCGCTTCTTCGCACAGAGATGTGTATTGTGTAGGCGGCGTCCCTCTAAAGGTAAAAAATTGACTATCGGATTATTCCCAGGTAATTGGTTAGTAATTACCATAGTGAAATACAGGGTGAATGAATATCACAAACTTTTTCAAGAGCTGTCGGATTATCATGTTGCCTCACAGGCATTTGAAAGAGTCTTGATGCTCGGTTGGATACCGCGCGAGGTCTCCCTTTTTCACAATATTTCATTGTTCCGCAATGTCGTCTGAAATTCGAGTGATATGATCGGCAAGCGAATGAGTATTTGATTTGAAGTTTGAAGTTGGCTCGAAATGTAAACGGTGTAATATACGCGATGGCCACCAGTATTGCGTTGAGAGTCGTGATTTCATAGTAGTGTCGGAAAATTTGCGGACTGGACCTCAAACTCCGACGGTATACATTTGGTCATTTCAAATGCGGATACCTGCGCGCATGGTAACCACGGTACATATGGGACCCGATTTCTCGAATCCCATCCACCTTGATTTGTAAAGAGCGGGGCCATTTGGGCCTCATGGGTTGGTAGATGGCAGTTCTTCTTCAATGGGTAAGCTTATATTTTTATTTCCAAGTAAGACTCCAATGACTGTATTTCCACCACCTGTTTACCTTCACAATTAGGTAAGAACATCAATCAAGTTTAACATCGATATGGTTAGATATCACACAGCTAGAAAAACCAAAGAGTGGAAACATGAATCAGTCTAGAGTAGGTGAAATTTGATATTAATTTACAGATTTGTAATGGTACCGCTCGCCACATGAAATCCGATGGTGAAGCGGTAGAATATGTAACAATCACAATTACAACGTGTGACTTTATAGCGCAAGAAATGCCATTTCAACAGAGACAGAATTGGGAGCGGAAAGAAATATGTGAAGACATTTCGTTGACACAAGAAATAGGTCTCGTAAGCAATCTCCAAACGCAACATTATCAGTTTGGGTCAACCACATCATTGGAGCGGAGTTCTTCAGTGTTCAATAAGTTTGCCAGACCCTATAAGAAATATAGGTGTCAGATCAGAACGCAAGGTGTCAGTGAAATTGAGGTGTTGCTTACCATGAGATCTGCGCAAGCTGGCTGGAACATGAAATGGCATTTAACTCCTATTGATTGGAATACTTCCACCAGCTCCTGATCACGAAGTCCAGATCCTTTGGGCGTTGTGAAGACTATGTGTTTTAGTTTTGGAGGAACCGTGATTGAAGCGCGGTCAGTCTGAGCTAAGATGCTTCGCCAATATACGTTCCCGTGCCAATAACTCGTAACCAACACTTCAATTGATTGTAGTAACGGCCATTTTAACCACTGAAGATCAATTTCCAATGGATTCAAGTGGCAGTATTCACTTCGGAGAACCCGGAGTTTAGGAAAGCAAGTGTCGCGGCTGTTGCGTGGGATACGGTCCGGAATAGAAATTATGAACAGAACTTGGAGTATGTCTTGTAATCCTAAGGCTATCGGGGCTATTGGGTCCGGATTAGCCTGTGGGAGTAATTCTAGGCAACTGATTTTTCTTGCAGAAGACTGACATATGTCCTTTGCAGCTTGTAGGTTGTCGAGATCACACGCAAACCAAAAGTGCTCCAAGTCGGGAAGAGAATTGCGCGCCAATTCCATCGCGGATAGGAATGAGAAGTTGAGGGATAAAGACTTTAGTTGCGGAATCCTTTCGAGTAGGAACTTAATTGACTTTGAATCGTGTGGGACCCCTGAGGAGCGGGAACCTGAAATATTGAGAGTATGTAAACCTGTAGCAAGCTGAATGGTGTTTGATAACTCAGGAGTGAATCCAACGCAGTCGATAAACCTAAGTTTTAGTTGGGTTAAGGTGTACCTGCATAAGCTAATAATTGATGCCGCGTTTTGGGGTCGGATAGAAAATGGGTACACTGGTGTTGGAGACGGCAATGGTTGTCCATGTTGGGAAAGAGGCATCGGATGTTGGACTCCATCCAGGCAGAGTCGTTGTAATTTTGGAAAGCCAGGAGTCAGGTATGATGTTTTCCAAATGCCTGCAAGACTGCTGGCCATGTTATCGCGAGGTAGGCGCAAATTTTTGAAAACAGAGTCGAGAATGACAATGTCCCAGGCTTTGCTTAATAAACGCAACTGAAGCAGACGGGTAACTTGCGTATGATGTAGGAATGAAGTGTCGGTACAGTTTGTGGGGTCAGCAGATATAATGGGGCTTTGATTAATTATGTTTTCAACGATTAATCGGACGACTTCAACTGGTAATTGTTCGGTTTCAAAGGGATGGGGGAATGTCAATGAGGTCATGCACATTTTGGAAGTAAATGGCATGGTATGAAGTACCAGAAGTCGGTTTAGGGACGTCACTTTATAATGAAATGAAGGGGTGGTCATTCGTCGTACCTAGCTGTCTGACCCCAATGCCTATGCCTTCAATGACAGAAATCGCCGCCAATGTGAATGGATAGTTTGTGTCAATCGATCCGGTGGAAATCAACATGGTAATTGTCAATTTTTGGGCTTTCAGGAGCAAGCAAGCATGCTCGTGAAAGATCTCTGCCCAAATGAGCAACATGGTGACATGTGTAACGGTTAGTCGTGTCGTAATATAAGTTTTTCAGGCCTCGCGATCGTTGATGTGGTCAAATGTTTTCGGTCTCGTAATCTTTGATGTGGTGTTTTCTTGGTCTCGACGCCCGGGAGACAGTGCAGAAAGTAAATACCAAACTTTAGAGGATGGGACCGGTTGTAATTGGAGTGTAGTGGGGGCCAAAAGTTGCAAGACCGGAGTGGAGGGGTATACATCAGCTTGCTTGACGGTGATTGAAAGATGGAGAGGAAACTTGGTGGGTGATTGGTGAGGGGGGTTGTAGGTACTTAGGGTGTTAGGCCTTATGGTTTAATCCGGTTTCGCCGAGAAACCAGGTTGTGCCTTTAGAGTTATGATTGATAGAATCATGTCATAACCGTTTACCTTAGGAAAGGGACCTACAAAGTCTAGACTGATATGTTCCAGCGGCGCATGTGGCACGGGAGTTGCTTGTAGTCTGCCGGAAGTGAGTTGTGTTCTAGCTTTGTTGCGTTGACAACTGTCACAGTTCGCTACAAATTGCTGCACATCTTTCGTCATACCCGGCCAGAAGAATTCAGAGCAAAGCTGTTCAATTGTTTTTGCCAATCCTAAATGACCCAGAGCGGAGTGTGTCCTTGATATGAGGCCAAGACGTAAAGTCTTAACTTCCAGAACAACGAGGCGTCCATCAAGGTAGAGTAGGTCCCCAATTTGTCGTGTGTCTTCCCGCAGAGGTAGGGTGAGCAGAAGTTTTGAGCAAAATGCATCCTTTTTATACCCTTCCGTGATGGCGTATCGAGTTTCATCATCCAGACTGGCTTTGATTTCGATTGCCGCAACATCCTCCCTTCTCGAGAGCGCGTCGGCCACCGAGTTGTCCTCACCCTTGAGGTACTTGAAGTTTAGATCAAAGTCGGCCAACGTTTCGAGCCATCTGGCTTGACGACGACTGAGATTACGTTGTTTCAATAAGTGTACTAAGCTGTGGTGGTCTGACATCACGTTGATTTTTAAACCAAGCAGTAGCAATTTCCATTTCTGCAAAGCATTGATCACCGCAAGCAGTTCCTGCTCATGCACGGGATAATTCCTTTCCGCCGGTGACATGGTCCTGCTTTCGTAAGCAATTGGAAACGAGGTTTCCCAGTCTTTGCCTTGAAAAAGAGCGGCGCCCAGGCCATGTCCGCTAGCATCCGAGAAAAGCCAGACAGGGTCTTCAGAATTGTAGTCTATCTTCTTCAGCACTGGAAGAGTGGTGATCAATCTCTTAATGTTTTCGAACGCTACGTCTTCAGCTTTACCCCAGCAGAACTCCGATGGTTTTCGTTTTGAGCTAGTTAGCGGGGATAAGGTTGCCACATATTGTCCTAAGCCATCGACAAACTTCTTCAACCATTGAACTGTGCCTAAAAACGAGTTTAAAGTCTTAGCTGACCGAGGAGTCTTCCATGACGTGATTTTATCTACCTGTCCGTTATCTGCACTAATACCATCCTCACTAATCTCGTGTCCTAAAAATGTGATCTTCTTTCGAAATAACTTGCTTTTCTTCGAAGAGCAGTACAGGTTGTTGGCTTTCAATCGATTCAAAACCTCCCTGAGATGTTTTTCATGTTCTTCCACTGAATCGGAAAAAATTACGATATCATCAATGTAAACAACGCAGATTTTTCCTATCAGGTCCCCCAATGCTTCTTCACAACGTGCTTGGTGAGTGGCAGGAGCATTACAGAGGCCCATGGGCATTACTACCCATTCGTACATTCCCCAAGGAGTCTTCACGGCGGTGAGAGGAATGTCTTCTGGTCGCATGCGAGTTTGAAAAAAACTATTGATCTGGTCAACTATTGAATAGACTTTACCCGTTGCTGCCAGTCTCACAGCTTCCTCAGGGTTAGGAAGCGGTGAGCGGTCCTTGACTGTAACCTTGTTCAGCTCTTGGTAATCACAGACCCATTGCGGGTCTGCCATAGGATCTTTTTTGGGAATAATCAGTGAGGGAGATCCGTACTGACTGCTTGAACGTCGAATACGACCAGCTTTCAAGTGGGCATCTATGAGTCGACACCAAGCTCCTAAGTGCTTCACCGGGTAACCATACTGTTTACCGTTGATAGTGGCATTGGGGTTTGTTAACACAATTTTATGACAAACAGTTGAAGATTTGTGTTGGTCTGTGGGAGGGAAAAAATCGTCCTCCCCTTCCGCGACTGCGGGCAATTCATCAGGGAATAAAGATTTAAATTCTTCAAACATTTCAGTTTCCTTCAAAGACATCAATCTTGCTCTCTCAATCTTTTTCAAATTTTCCGTAACACACGCTAATAATGCTTTCTCCGGCACACCTCGAAGGTCCAAGTTCAAACAATCATGAGATTTATTGCATTCCACATATTCCATTTTCTTTTGTTTCCTAAATTCACGGTCATAGAGCATTAACCCGGACTTGTTGTGTAAGATACAACGTCTATGTACTGATATGTCTATCTTGTGCATTTTCAAGAAAGGCGTCCCACAGATCATGTCGTAACCTCCGTTTAACTTTGCAATTTTGAAAAAATTTGCACCGAACTTGAGTTTTGGTTCCTTCGAATCCAGATTGGCAAACACAAAATGAGTAAGTTGTTTCTCAGGCCCCTCTGATGCAAGAGCTAGACCCACAGTTACTGGCCTAACCAGAGGACGTTGCGGGATTCGCGCCTTCTGCGCCAGGTCCTCGTCCATTAGATTTGTTTTGCAGGCTGAATCAAACAAAGCCCCAATGGGAACACCGTTACACACAAGATCAACAATTATTGAGGGCTCTCTGTCATCAGAAACGCACCTCTCTTGTTTCTCTTCCTCCATACAGGCAACTAAAACTCTATCCGCCTCCGTGTAGCGTTCCAACTCCTCAGCTGACAATTCAGGCATCTCCGTAAAAGCAGTGACTCTGGTTGTTGTTGATGTGTTGCCATTCACAGGTCGGCCGGCTGGTTTTTGTGTAGGAGCTCCTGGTGGTGGTCGCGAATCGATGTGTGTCGGACGCGGACCTGCATTGAACTGATCGGGTGGTGGTACACTAATAAATGCATTCGAAGAATCCGTGCAGTTGGGATTGTTACACTTCTTCTTGCAAGTTGTACACAGTCCAACGTGCTTCATCCATTGTTTATAACGCCACGTGTTCTCAGCACGTTCCTCTGGTGATCGAGCGAAAGACCGGTTCGTATTTGTGCTTTGATTGTTTGAGTTATTGCCGGCTGCTGCATATTGAGGTGCATTAGGTGCTAGGCCACACGGTTTGCCTTCTTTAATTTGTCCGCCATCCACCAGTACCCTCCAAATGGCCTTGGCACGAGAAATGAAGTAAATCATGTTGAAATTTTCAACTTGCAACAGTCTGTCCTTGCGAGCTACGCTATCAAACAACGGTGGTGCTCCCCAGCAGATGTATTGAGCAAGTTCCTTCTGAGAGATCCGAGAAAACTTCAAAATTGTACGATGTAAGCTTTGGGCACGTTCGATGTAAGAGTCAAAGCTTTCGGACGGTTTCATCGTGAGTTTTCGCAACTGCTGTTCGATGTCCGATATCCAGTCCTCCGGTAATGTTCCAATTGCAAATAATTCCATCACTTCCTTCCAAGACTTCCCCTCTAGCTCAGTTTTAGCAGATTGGAACCACGCCGAGGCTTGTTGATCAATGAGTAAGGATCCCAAAAGCTTGAGGCGCTCTCGATTGTTACGAAGATCCTTCACATCAAAGAATTGTTCCACTAGCCACTGCCAGTGAAATAAAGCGGCTGGCTTCCCATACGGTCCGTTAAACTTCGGCGCCTCTGCCAAACGAATCTTGCTCGCAGTTATCATAGCACTTGAATCGTCACTTTTGTACCCAGTTGTCTTGTTAACCAGTCGAGGCAAAGGCGCGGTACAAGCCGATGGTGGTGGTGGCAATGCTGGAGAAGTCGGAGAAAGTGGTGGTAGCACAACTGGTGCAGTTTGAGTCGGTACCCAGTGCACTGCTGGAGTCGATTGCGCCCAAGGATAAGTCCACGGCATCGCGGTCCGAGACATTGGTACGTTTTGTTCTACCGACTCTGAAACATAAGTCGGAGGTGGTGGTGCCGTTAAACCTGAAGGTCGTGACGCGTAGTTGATCGGTGGTGGGGTTATTACGTCGACAGGGTTTGTAGGTTGTTGGCGACCTGCTGGCGAAGGTGAAACCGGCTCTTGTTCCATGAACAAGGCATAAGGATTATTCGATCTGGATGACTGAAAACTTTGGTCCCCAGGTGGCTCGTGGGTTGCTTGCCGTTCCTGAGCTAAGTCGTGCACCATCGATTCAAGGTTGTCGATCCGGTCACATCGCCTCTCCAGGAACTCGTTACGCTCCTCTGCTTCCTTCAGTTGAAGTTTCAAAGACTCAAGCTGGTCTTCCACCGAGGTAATAACCGTGGAAGCCTTCCCCTTCTGAGCCGACAACGAGGGTTCCGCCATTTTCTTATGGGCGGTTGGCTGAGGCGTATGAATAAACGCTCCTGGCAGTCGTGGCGTCGCTAGGTTGTCGGATTTCTTTGTCCGTGTGTCTCCCTCTTCTAATAGGTGATTGAAGAAGCGTTGGACTATCTGTTTATCACTGGCTTTCAAGATTTCAGTTTCAGGGATTGGCCACGGTTGAGTCGGCGTACTAAAGGGTTTTGTCTCTTCTACAACGTGAAGTGGTTGGCTGGCTGATAAAACTTTGTATTCAGATACTGGA